AAACTATATAAGCGACAACGAAAATCAGACAGAGAGATGGAAGTGACAGCAGCGACCGAGTTCAGAAAAGGTTAAACCCCGCGAGTCGGAAGTCCGAGTCTTATTATTGTTATTTGTTGTCTCCCAGTTTGTTATTGTTATTGTTTGTGAAGTTGACGTTAATTTAGAAGTTAGTTTGTTCCTGTTCCTTATTTAAAGTGATTCTGAGTTGAATAAAAGTTGTAAGCCATCCACGGTACAATATATATAAATAATCTTTATTTCCTATAGGAAAACGCTCTCGATCCAATCGGTCTTTCTGCCCTTGTGTAGTACATATGTATCTTAGCCTACCTTATTCTAAAATTAATTCCTATTCCTAACACTCGTATAAACTAATCAGTAATAAAAAAAAGAAAATTCCTGGCTTACAGAACAAACAGGTCTTAGTTCAGTTGCGATTGTAGGTGTTCTAGTAAAGTATCTGTTGGGGGACAAAAACGGTAGTGTTTTGTCTGTCTTGTGAGGCAAAGGGGATTCAGTATGGTCCCGTTGTGGGGGTTGTTTGTCCATTTTGTGTATTAGTCTTTCCGAAATTTTTGTCATGTTTGTGCGTTCGTATAGTGGTTGGTTGGAAGGGTTGTGCAGTGGGTTTTGGGGGTGTCCTATTCGTGTTATTAGTCTTAGCGCAATTTGTTCTGTTGTTTGTACGTATCGCTCTGTCCTTTCTGTTCCGTTGTCCATGAGTATATGTCCGTAGTCCCAGAGGGGTCTGCAGATCGCTTTGTATATTTTTGTCGCGGTAATTGTACTAATTCCTTTGTCCTTGTATGTTAGTGATCGAAAGTGTTTTGTTCTTTTTATCGTTTCTGTTCTGATGTTTCGTGTGTGTTTAGTGAATTTCAGTTTGTGGCCGATTGTGATCCCAAGGCACTTTACGTCGTTTTTCGGGTGTGTCGTTTGACCGTCTGTAGTTATTGTAGGGGAGTCAGCGTTGAGTCTGTGGTTCGTGAGCACCAGTTGATTTTTTGTCGCATTTGGCGTTAGTCTAAATTTATAAAACCATGTCATTGTGTTGTTTGTTAGTGTTTGGAGTCTTTCAGTCGCTTTTTCAGTAGTTTTGTCGTGTACAATAAGTGCCGTGTCGTCAGCGTATTGTAATATGTATGCCGTTCTGTCGATTCGATTTTTGTCTGGTAAGTTGTAATTGTATATGTCATGGCAGTATATACTGTAGAGAAAGGGTGAGAGCGGGGATCCTTGAGGGAGCCCTTGTTCAGG